TAAATTTACTGCCATATCCCACCCTTCAAACCGAAACACAGCCATGCAAACACAACTGCTTCACGGTAGAAACACGAATGTTTCGTTAAAATCCGTCGAGTAGTTTTTGTTTCTATAACGAACATACAGACAGACAGACAAAAATTTTACTGATTGCATTTTTGGCATTAGTATCGATCACTAATCACCCCCTAATAGTTATTTTGGAAATATATTTCATGTACAGAATTGACCTCTCTACAGATTTATTATAAGTATAGATTATTAATTACTAATTAGTTGATTACCATTATTTTGTTTATTGCCCATTCTATGCCGGGACCATACAGCATAGAACTATATATCACTATACTCTGCCGTGTGGTCCCAGCATAGAATGAGCCACCCATTCCTTTCCCATGGATTTCGTAATTGGCAACTATGAGAACTTAATAGTCGAGGGATAGGCAGCAGCGTCCCTTTTAAAACATCACTAAAACCAAACTGTGGTTGCCAACTCGCCTGCCAAGAGTGGCAACTACTGACAAAACTTCCCTTATGATGGAGGCTTATTTCTTCGTCGTACATCTTCATCGTACAACCCGCCATAAACTAACATTTCATCCTAACCATCTGGACGAGTGGCGGTCTTCCATCGTGCGTTTTTCAAGGCACTTTCTTCCACGCACAAACACTCTTTGGAATCAATTTCCAGCAGCAGTATTTCCGAACCGATACGACATCATAACCTTCAAGAAAAGAGCATATTCCTTTTTAAAAGGCCGGCAGCACACCTGCGATGCCGCTGGTGTTGTGGGTGACCATGGGCGGCGGTAGTCACTTACCATCAGGTGAGCCGCATGCTCGCTTGCCCCCTGTGTTGTAAAAAAAAAAATGTTCAGCAGTGAACAGTTAAGGGCTGAAATTAATACAGTCCTTTCTCCTACATTACTACATTTTTTTTTAAAGCGACTGACTTCCAATTAAGTGGAAAATATAGTTCAGCGGCGGTTAATTAATAGCTTATATGATGATGCTAATGAACAATTCTTATTTATTCTTTAGTACCGTTTACCATCAGGCGGGCCGTATGCTTGTTTGCAACCTCAGTGGTATAGAAAAAAAAGTATACAAACGTGAACGTATAAAGCGGATTATATAAATCGCACGCTCTCCCTAGTAATCAAATGACATTAAACTTTTTACAACGTCAACATAAGACTGTTTCATAAATAAATGGAAAATACATTTTAATGGTGATAAAATTAGCATGGGAACAATGGGGGAGTGAATTGTTTAATATAAAAAATCCATGTCATTAAAATCTATAAAAAAACATAATGTTACATTTAAAAATCGCTGGTACAGCGCTAACAAAATTAATAGAGGAACATTTTAGAAACATTGTAGCCGTGTGGTCCCAGCGTAGAATAGGCCAGAATAGGCCAAAATAGCCTTCTTTTAATGTAGGTATAGTAAGCGAATACGGGAACATAATGATCGAGAGATGGATAACGGCGTCTCTCTTAAAACATCACCAAAGTCTGACAGCAGTTGCCAACTCGCTTGCCAAGTGTGGTAACTGGCAAAATTCTTCAATAGGAGGAGGCCTGTGTTAAGCAGTGGACATTTAATGGCTGATATGAATGTCGAAATAAGAGTAAGCCTAAACAATTTCAAATAATGTCTCGTTTTTATATTTATACTCCATAGATGTAAGGTGGGTATATAAATATAAAAATCTCACAGAAATCTCTTTTAGAGATAAGTTTGCCTTTGATAACATTGTTATTAAATTATTGTTGTTACTGTATATTTTAGTGCAATATATATTATATATATATATATATATATATATATATATATATATATATATATATATATATATATATATATTATTATATATTTATATTTTTTACATATTTGTATATAATTAATATATATGAATAATTGATTATATTATCTTACTAATATAATTTGTAAAATATGTATTAAAATTTTAAAACTAGTAATGATAATAAATAAATAAAATATTTATTTTAAATAGAATAATTAAACAAAAAAGTACCTTCAGTTGTGGCTAACCAATTACTAAACAACAACAACCGAATGAAAAGTCTCTTCTTTTTTGAAGTCGGTCAATTATTGAAACAGATTTAGAACTTGTACTTGAAATATATAAAAAAAATTTGGATTGCACCACATCATGGTCGTGACAGAATAACTTGGTGCAGTCCACGTTGAAACGTCGGCAATATAAAAGCAGGTATATAGGTATTATTTACTTGTAAAGGCTTTTACATCGCGTTAAGTTCCGATTGTGTATCTATACATATAAATAAAATTGGATTGTCTGTTTGTAATAGTGAAATAACCGTTTTTTACTACATGTATGTATATGAATATATACGGTACATACACCAAAATAACATATTTTACAATTTTTGTATGTCTGTCTGTTTGTTCCGGCTAATGTCTGAAATGGCTAGACCGATTTTGACGGGACTTTTATTGGCAAGTAGCTGATGTAATAAGGAGTAACTTAGACTACGTTTATTTAAAAAAAATCTTTTATTTTAGCAAAATAATGTTGCAATGTCCAAGTACTGTCCAGTACCGCGCGCAGTTAGGCGGAACGAAGTTCGCCGGGTCAGCTAGTTTAAAATATGTTAAGACAATGCAAAATTTTAAAATTAACTATAGAAAAATCCCAACCAGGTCGACCTCCTCGCGGTCCTCCCTGGAAACTATCATCGTTAATTCCTGATGAATTCATCATGATGGGCTAACTGGCCTGTTTTCATTCTCATCTATCACCCTTCACTGGTGCTCCGCCAGCGTATCCCGTTAACGCAGGCGAGGTTACCGTACCATTATTTAACTATATTAAACTATAGAAAAATTGTCATATACTTATAAACATCGTCTAACGTACCCAGATGATTTTTTCTATATTTCTAAGCATAGATGTACAATAAAAATAATGAATATACATTTCTTTTGTTAGAATACTAAAAACATACAGTTTATAGAGGACTTTTTGAAGTCAGCTAATAAATGGAAGAGTTATTGAAAACTGAAAAAGTTTATTTCATTTAAACAACATAATTCAAGTTAAATGATCCATTTCCAGTTCTATGTAGCAATCGTACGCTATTCCTATAATATCCGGTAAATTATAAACTCATGTATAATAAATTCTAACTCTTGTTTCGTTACGTTTTGTCAAAGTAAAGGATTCTTGGTATTTTTGCCTTTTTCGTACTACTAGGAATTGTAAATGAGTCGATGCTAGGCTTGTCATATGCCCGGGAAACCCGGGAATGTCGCGGAATTTTGTGTTATGTCCCGTGTCCAGACATTTGTGTTCTGATAAACTCTTCAGTGTGTTACAGTCACCTTTCACCATCGTACCGCTCGCTATCGGTAGAGAATACATATTCACACCTTAGAACCAGGATGGGCATGCACAGTGCGTATTTTTTTTTTTAAGAATAAAGATGGCATGGTAACCTCGCCTACGCTATCGGTATACACTGGCGGAGTACCAGTGAGGTGAGTGAGGAAAAAACAGGTCAGTTAGCCCATCGTGACGAATTCAACGATAAATCAGTCACAATAGTTTCCAGAGGGAACCGCGTGGATATCGACCTGATAGAGTAGGTATATTGATAGCAATGGGGACTAACCTCCTCATTACCGATAATCCCTTCCCCCCGCATAGTGCGGTTTCGGAGGACGTTCCTCCTGCTAACACTCAGGTTGTGACAACATTTACCTGCGGAGACTTTCCCTAAAGACTACGACATGGGGATCTTCAAAAAGGCATATTAAAGTTTCTATAGGGTCGGCAAGGCGCACGTGACGGACGCGCAGAGGGAGACTTTGTACAAAAGTCGATTGCTTGGGTACCTCTGTCCTATTCGTGTTTCTACCGTGAAGCAGTTGTGTTTGCATGGCTGTGTTTCGGTTTGAAGGGTACAGAGGAATAACACCTGAGTCCTCAGGAATGGCAACGCATGGGGGGTATCATGGGCGAAACAGTATACTCTGTTATGTCCATGGTACTGCTCATGTCTATAGGCGACGGTTACTACTTTCCATCAGGTGAGCCGTTAACTTTTGACTGGTTAAGAGATTTGACTGCAACACATATAAAGGTGCAAAAAACGGTCTTATCGCTACGGCAATCTCTTACAGACAACCTTTGGTTTAAAGAGAACATATAAAATATATAAATATTCACTGCTGAACATAATTTAATTTTTTTAATGTATTTGTGATATGACGATGATGATGATGAAAGATGTTTAGATGTTTTATTAGAATTTTCAAAATTTACAAATTTTCGAACATTGTGTATGATTGAAATTTGGTGATTTAAATTGTATATTTTTTTTTATATTGCATAAACATTTTGTTTCTATAAATAAACAGTTTTTCAACTTCCTAAAAAAGGAAAAAGGCAGCTTTAATCGTCACAGAATTAAAATAGCACAACACGGGAGTGAGCTTTATTGATTATGCAAAAATAATTATTAAATTCGGTTCAGAGTTTGTGACGTAAATCGTCATGTAATCGCAAAATAATTTAGACTAATTGATAACTAAGAATGGGTAATATCAATATCGGTATCGTTCCGATAACTATATATTGAATTCCTCTTAACTTTAATAGTAAAAAAAGATATCACCCATTTCGATATCGTCCATACCGATCGGATATCTGTATTAATTTCGATCGGTTTCTTCATTCGATTTTGTATTAGGATATTGAATAACCGATATTGCATAAAGATGTATCAGTTATTGGACCAATACATAAAACATTACAATTCGAATATATAGACCAAGGTATTGCAAATAGAATATATAGATATTAGAGTTGCAATGTTGCATATATTGTAACTATATATCGAGTTTTCAATAAGAGGAGTAATATCTATAATTGCTATATATTACTTACTCATGTTAAGATCCTTTTTTCGCTTAAAAATAAGGGCATACTAATTGAAATACAGTGGATTTTGTTCCAGTGTCGACGATGGACGTGGAGGCGGTAGTGGGGCGGACTGCCTCGCTGCCCTGCGACATCGAGCCGGACACCAACGAAGACCGGGTCTACATGGTACTCTGGTTCAGGCATTCAGGTGGAAAACCGTTGTACAGGTCAGTTTCTTTATATTTTCACTGCGTTTATCTGTAGTCTTACACTGAACCCTAAGGTTGTGGCATAAAAAAATATTTATTTTATGTAAACTTTTAATTAAATACAGTAATATTTTGTACCATCATATCAGCCTTTAATCATCCATTGCTGACAAGCCTCCCCTTTGGGAGGTTCTGCCAGTAGTTGCCACGTTTGGTAGGCGGGTTGGCAACCGCAGTCAGGCTTAAGAGATGTTTAAGAGGGACACTGCTGCCCATCCTTCGCCCTTCCTTAGTCGCCTCTTACGACAGCCACGGGAAAGGAAGGGGTGGCCTATAGAATAAGCAGGGATCACACGACCAAATATATGTTATAATATTTTGTACACCTAACTATACATATAAAAGGTAAATAAAGCTAACTAAACTGTTTGTGATCTTCACTTCGAAGTATTTCTTAGTAATATTTGTTTATTTTTACCAAACAGTTTTATAAAAATTATAATATTTGAAAATAAGTAATTACTTAAATTATTTGTTCTTATTACAAACATAGCCGTGTGGTATCGGTATAGAATAGGCCACTTCCTCCTTGAGTGTCGTAAGAGGACGAGGGACGGACAGCAGCATCCATCTTAAAACATTTCTAAAGCCAAGTATGGCGACTACTGGTAAACCCTCCAAAACCCTCCAAAGAGGAGGCTTATGTTCAGCAGTGGACAATTTTTTTTAATACAACTTAGAATGGCAAACAAGCTGACGGCCCACCTGATAAAAAGTGGTAACCGTCTAAATGTTTCGCCCATGATAGTCTCCATGTGTTGCCATCTCTGAGGACTCAAGCGTTATTCCTCTGTACCCTGTAAATTCACGCCATATCCCACCCTTCAAGTGATGATTAATAAATAATGTCCATGGATTTTAAAAGGGTTTCTTCCAGTCAAGTGCTATGGTAAGTATCAAATCTTATTTAAATCTGTGTATTAATTTAAAGGTTTAAAAGAAATTTATCATTACAAACCAATTTATTATTAAATGCCTTATAAACACAATTATATTATAATATTAGTTTAATGTTTCAATAAATAGAAATATTTGCCTATAAATTTTAGATACAAACATTTACAAGCTTATCATAATTTATTGAATACCCTTAGCACCTATCTCTTTCATGTTACAAGAGGCGAATGTTTACAGAAAAAGGACAGAAATAATAGTCGGGACAGTTATATAATTTCTAGAGGATTCCTTGTAAATATCTTGTATAGGGTTTTTATGCTGTATATATAATTATGTAGATTTTTATTACACTAACTCCACAGTTAGCTTGTAAAAAAACCTTTTTGGTTTTCTTTTTAATTTTATTAAAAAAATAACCAGCATTCTTCTGTGACTTGGAATAATTGTATATATATATATATATATATATATATATATATATACTCGTATATTACTCTCCTAAAAAATGTGTTCTCATACCAGCAAAAAGTCCTTTTGATTTCGGCGTAGAATAGGCCACCACATCCTTTCCCGTGGTTGTCATAAGAGAAGACTAAGGGAATTTAATGCTAGAGGAATAAGCAGCAGCGTCTCTAAAAGCTTAAACCGCGGTTACCAACTCGTCTGCCAGACATGGCAACTACTGGCGAAACACCCTTAATTGGAGTAAAAAATAGTCCTTTCGCCCACGCTACCTTTTTTCGCTATATTTGCGACTGACTTCCGTTTAAGTTGTAGGTATATTTCACATTTGTTGTAAACTAGCAATTTACCGTGGCTTCACTTGCAACATGTTTATCTCGTAACACAATTTCACGAAAAGACGTTTTCAATTCGACTGTTTTTTTTTTTATATTTGTTACCTCAGAACTTCGTCAATTATAAACCGATTTGGAAAATATTTTTTTATCTAAAAGGATATACTAACAAATTCATCACAAAGAAATTTTATCATAATCGGTTTAGTAATTGATAAGCATTTTTACCAATCCTGTTAGGTCGACCTCCGCGGCTCCCCATTAAAACCGTCATGGTCAATTCTCAACGATTATGTCCCGATTGGCCAACTTACCTGACTTCATCCTCACTTATAATCCCCCGCTTATAGTGCCCCACTATTCCAATCCATTTTTACCCACCAAAATAAAGCATAGTAGGAAAATAAGTAAATCACCTATTTTATATTTATACAGTTGAAAGTACTACAATTGGATTATAACAATTTAACAAATAGGTGGACGTTTTCCAAAATGGCCGAATGAATTCACAATATTCAATTCATATCCATTTCTATGTTTATTTCAGTTGTATTTCAGTCAAATTCAATTCACAATTCTGCAATCATTTGCATTATTTACACATACCGCTGAGTCGGAGATGTGAACGATACGAGTATTCAGTTTGATGTGTTATTTAAATGGTAAATGCTTTATTTAGTGCTAGCTCGAACCCGTGGCTTTGCCCGCTTCATCATCGTCATCAAATCAGCCATTATGTGTCCACAGAACATAGGCCTCTCTTATTAGCAACGGTCCTGAGTCACTTGCATCCATTGATTCCCTGCAATACGTTTGCATGTATTCGCTGTGTGCCGTGTGGTCCCGGCGTAGAACAGGCCACCCCTTCCTTTTCCGTGGGTGTCGTAAGAGGCGACTAAAGAAATGCGAGAGACGGGCAGCAGCGTCCCTCTTAAAACAGAGGGAGACTTTGTACAAAAGACATTTGCTTGGGCACCTCTGTCCTATTCGTGTTTCTACCGTGAAGCAGTTATGTTTGCATGGCTGTGTTTCGGTTTAAAGGGTGCGATTTGACAATGAATTTACAGGGTACAGAAGCATAATACATGAGTCCTCAGGAGTGGCAACGTATGGGGGATATCATGGTCGAAACAGTATACTCTGTTATGTCCATAGTACTGCTCATGTCTATAGGCGACGGTTACCACTTTCCATCAAGTGGTCCGTCAGCTTGTTTGCCATTCCAAGTTGCATAAAAAAAAAACCTTTATATCTGTACGAAGTTGGGGCTTGTTGCTAGTTTGCATTAAATGTAATGAAAAAAAAGAAGAGAAAATATTACATCACTTCATATTTACTATTTCTTTTATTACTTTTCTTAAACAATTTACAATTTGTAATGAGAAGATTTTTTTCGAATTAAATTAAACACATATCCAAGATTTTCTGTTAATACTAAAATTACTTTAACAGCGTCACTAACTGCGGTTTATCGTCGTTATAACCATTTAATGTTCACATGTTTCCAACAGAGGGCACTAATGTTTTATTGCTGAATTAAACTGTCAAAGTAACTTTATAGTATATTTGGACACATACTCCACAAGATTTGTTATGTCTAAATGAAGAGGAAGACTTGAAAAGATGGATAGGTTGCGGGAAAGATATGTGTACCCCAAATAATAGGATGTAGGCAAAGTTTTACAAGTCTGTGGTTAAATTACCCTACTCGGGAATCAGTGTCTAATTAGATAATTAATTTTATACATTTAAAATTTTTTAAGGTTATTTAAAAATTGAAACTGTTATATTATATACATATGTTATTAAGCTGAACATGTTACCCATTTTATTAGTATTATTAATAATTTAAATAAATTTTTACCTAAGTATTTAATAACAAACGAATATCTTATTTTGGGGGGAAAGGGATTGTTAGTAATAGAGACTAAGAATCCCATTGTTAGCAATATACCCAACCAGGTCGACCTCCACGCGGTTCCCCCTGGAAACTTTCATGGTTAATTCCTGATGAATTCATCATGATGGGCAAACTGGCCTGTTTTCATTTTCATCGATCACCCTTCACTGGTGCCCTGCCAACGTATACCGTTAGCGCAAGCGGGAATATCATTCCATTTTCACTTACCAAAAAAAAAAATAGCTTATTTGAAATACACTATAGGGACTTAAAGCAATGAAAAATTTGCACATAAATAATACCTACATACTTGCTTTTTTATTGCCGACGTTTCGACGTGGATTGCACCACATTGTTATTAGGTTCATGGAATGCTTACCACTTTCGTTTCTCAGGCTATGGAATGAGCTCCCTGATGAGGTTTTCCCTAGAGACTAAAGTATGGGGTTCTTCAAAAAGGGTATATTAAGGTTTCTTAAGAACCAGTAACGCGCACGTGATACCCCTGTGTGTTGCAAACGTTTTTAGGCTACAGTGACCGTTTACGACGGTCACTATGTTTGTTTGCCATCTTTGTGGTATAAACAAATTATACAAAAATAAATAAATATATTTATGTTCATTTTATTTTTGTTTAATCTAATCTGTATCCATACAACTACATACATTCACAATCAATACACACTGCGATTAAGTCATTAAATGTAATTACATTTAGTTGTATTAATTTTCTTTGATACAAAATGGACTCGTCGAGAACTTAAATCCTTTGAGGGGACGAACAAAATTAGATTTAACATAATTAAAATAGTGGAATCTGACATTCGGTTTGAACTCCGCAGTAGTGATGTGCTTTTTAGTGTAATATACATATAATCGTATCCCGATTCGAGTTTCAATACTCGAACACGTACTCGAGTACATATATGCGTATTCGGCTACTTTATCATACTTGACTACTTTTTTTTTTAATTTCTTTTCTCCCAAACTTTATTTTAAGAAGACAATAAATGCGCCTGTCCTTCCATTAAATAGAGTGACAACTTCTAATGCAGTGGAAGTCAGGTGATGCAGGTGGCTCAGGTGTTCCTTAAGGCAGCCTATACAAGAGGCTTATATTTAGCAGTGGATAGATAATGGTTGTATGATGATGACGATGAATCTTTCCTTTTGTAATTAAGAGTGTTAACGTAATTTACTTATAATGTCAACAATAGAATCAAACACTGGTTAACTTCATGCCATTCTATTACTAATGTCTCGTCGCTGTAGATTTAAAAGCAACAATGTTATGAAATTGAAGTTAGTTGAAAATATATCCAGTTCAGTAAAGACATGTGTTTTCTTGCACCTTAGTTAAATTG